GAGATGCTGAGAGACACTGGGTTGTGACGAAGCAGCAGCTGGGAAGAAGAAGCTGTTGTGGGAGTCTGGGTGTCTGACAGGGTACTACTGTGTGTCAGAGTACCAGCCTGAAAGGTTCAGGGGTCTGTTGGTTAGCCAGAACTGATGGGTTCAGGGTCTGCGCTTTAAGTTAAAGGTTCTAGGTGAACCAAACTGTATGCTTGTGTGTGTGAGAATAAGCCACGTTACTTTATTTTATTCACCTGATTGTTTTATTTACCCTGTTTGTATTTAAAATAAACCTTATTCTTTTATTGTTTAAAAATCCATCCCTGGTCTGTGTGACTTATTATAGGGAATGGTTGGTGGCAGCTTAGTAACTGTGTGATAGATCCCAGTAGGTCAAGTCATGTCTTTCATCTGGAGCTTTTCAATCTCATTCTTTGCTGCCTGCTGTGCTTTACCAATAGCACACCCCCAGTAACCATAGGAAGCTCCTGATGGGTCAATTGTGTATAGCTGTGCACCATCATCATCATCATATGAGCCCAACATGAAGCTGCAACCAAAAGGTCTGCCAGCACTATATAGCGTATAGGCATGTACGTACATTGCCACTCCATCTGCAAGTTGTTTCAGGGGAATGTTATAACCATATTTGGATCTAAAGTTTGAAGCTTCTTCCCTTGCTATGTCAGCTAAAGACTGGGCATCAGCCAGAAGTCCTGCTACTGGCATTCTAACATGTTCTATCAACATTAAAAAGACGCTTATTCAATCCTTCTTCATAGAGTTTGGATATAACAAGTTTCTCTACTCCAAAGACTACACCATCTTTACACCGTATTCCAATTGCTGTACTGCTATTCTCAACAGCTTTCATAGCATACTCTACTTGAAATACTCTGCCAGGAGAAGGCGACGGAGAATGGGAGGGCTGGTGAGTATACGGGAAGGCGCTTTGCTCTCAGGTCTCCTTCGCCATGAGTTCAAATTCTCAAATATGAAGGACAAGGACTAGAAGCTTTTGCTTCAGTTTGTTTTTCTAACTAAGGCTAGTTACAGCTAATTGACAGGGTGCTGGGGCACATCTCAACTTTGCTGTCAGGAGCATGAGCAAGCCTGAAAGTGAGATCAGCTCCAATCAATTATCCACAATTTTGTGAATTTTATGCAAACACTAAAATGGTTGGGGCTAACAATTTCTTGATGGAATCAGACATGTCTTACATTTCTGCCTTCCATTTCTTGATGTGTCACATTCCTTTCTGTTCCAGCTATTTGGGGGGGGGGACGTTTTTGTAACAGGTAAACATGTTTTCTTCAACAGTTCCATGAGTTTGATTCCCCAATGTGCCCCCTGGACATGGGCTGGAATCAATGATCCATAGGGTCCCTTCCAGCTCTGCAGTTCTAAGATTATTATTATTATACTATAACCTCTGTGGAATCACAGTTGCCAGTTGCGTCACTTAAAGGATTCAGCGAAGAATAACATACGTATTCCCATTAACATTCAGAGATAAGACTAGGAAATTGGAGCACATATACCTACTGCAATGCTAATACTTGTCATCAGTGTCCTGAGTGCAAGACTTTTAGATTGTCAGGAGGCTTTCTGACCGTTTTTACCTCAGGTCAGTAATCAAAGTGAGATGAGAGACAGTGCCAGGTGAACCTATAAGCAAAGAAGCTTTGCACTTTTCATCAGGATGCTATATTCAGGGGTCTTGATTTTGGTTCTAATTCCTCCCATAAAAAGCAAGGCTCACGTTGTTAAATGCAAGGCCTGGTATCCACACCCTCCACTACATGAATATCATCAGTCCGGAGACATCCTCATTGGCGGCATTTCTTCTGTTGGTGAATTCCTCTCACTGGCACCAGAGTTTACTGAAGAACCTCCTCCACTGTTACGGGAAGGTTTTGTGTAAGGAATTTCATGTTCTTCTTCTTCCGTTCCATATACTTTGGAAATCAAACCAGGTTCAAAATAACAGCTTCTTGTAAACAATGTTTATCCACATCCTGATTTGATCATATTACAGACCTGAATATAATTACTTTGAAAAACATAATGTAATCTAATTTCTTCAAAAAGTAACTCCTCAAATAGCAGGAACCTTAGCAAGAATATAGGCTTTATGTTGGTGGGTTGATGGGCAGAATATCTGCGAGCTAAGATACATGATCTTGTTCCTGATGAAACCTGTTATCACAATATATCTGTGAAGATTCTTAGTTATCGTAAGTTTCTTCTGGTCACCTTCCCTCAGGCGTTTCCTCCCTCTTGTATAACAAGTTCGTTATCCTTTTGAAACGTTGGTCATTCAAATAAAACACAGATGTGTCTCATTGGCAGAGGTTTTCAACTTTTAAGACTTACCACCTCTATCTTTATTTGTTTCTCACTCAAGAGAGTTGATTCCTGTTTCTCTTGATTTCATGTTCTTCCTCACACTGGTTTAACCAAACATTTTTTCACCCCAAAGTTATGGATAAATTGTTTTTATGTTGAGTAGGAAGACTATAGGAATTACTTTATTACCTCATGTATATGCAAAGCAGAAGAGTTTCCCAGACCGGCCGGAGAATGTACACATCATGAGAAAAATGCTGGAACAGGAGAGGGTGGTGGTTAAATAAGTTGTTTTCATTTTCTGTTAAGGCAATAGATAGTGTTTTGAAATGTGGGTCTCCTTCAACTAAAAAGTAGTTTCAGAAAGATTCTGGTGTGTCTGTGCACAAATGTAGGTTAATAAATGGACAAGATACGGTCTGCAGTATGTTTGCAACACCTTTCTACTTCTTTGATGTGACTGTACCTCTCTTTCTAGAGCACTTGTGATGAATTACCAGCACATTTTGGCCTTGCTCTTTGCAGTACGTGAGATTAATGAAGACCCTCAGCTCCTACCCAACACTACTTTAGGTTTCCACATCTATAGCAGTGATTACAGTGAAAAATTGATCTATCAGTCCACAATGTTTTTAATGTACACATTTGAGAGATTTTTCCCAAACTACAAGTGTGGTGTGCGAAACACATTGGCTGCTGTAATAGGAGGGCTGGATTCAATTATTTCCTTTGATATGGCAAACATCTTGGATCTCTATAAGGTAGCCCAGGTAGGAAATGCATATCCAGCATGCTTTCTTAACCCTTCTTCCATAATCCTGTTACCCTTCCAGTTTGGATAACTGGAAAGGAAAGTGAATGTCTTTGATGCAACCATAGGTATACTTATACACTTCCTTATATTTATTCCATTAATTTCTCCACTACATGCAATGATAAAATTCCTAGCAAATGTTGTTTTAATATAAACGTTCCTCACTAAAGTTTGTGTCTGAAGATTTGAAATGAGAATTACATCAGAAAATGTGGGGGGAAATGCTGCATCAGTGTTCCAATTCCAATGTAAAACAGGGACTTTGTTAGTGTAAGAAAGTAGAACTAAGAGTAAGTGTAAAAGCATGTATACCTATTTCAAATTAAAACCATATATTTAAAGAAGGGATGTTATTATGTATTGTATAAAAAGGATATTTGGGGGATTGATATATAATTATGCCATTTCCCTATTCAGCAATACTAGTCTACTGACCGGCTCAAGTAAGTGTGTGTGTGTGTGTGTGTGTGTGTGTGTGTGAAAGAATTGTTGTGCATTATTGCTTTGACTATGTTTTTGGTCTTGGTCTTATTTAGCATTTTTAGAGTGGCATTTGCTTGACCCTTTTTGAATCGGTATACATTGTTTTTAGCTTTAAATAATGTATTTTAATGTTGTAAGCTGCCTTGTATCATTTTTTGAAGGAGAAAGGCAGGGTAAAATAGGAAGGAAGGAAGGAAAGAAGGAAGAAATGAAATGAAATGCAGGCTAAATAATGTTCTCCACTATCCCAATAAATACTCTGCTGTTTCCCTCCCTCAATTCCTCCCTATGTCTTTTCAGCTGACATATAGTCCTGCTGAAATGATGAAGGATAAAACCCCAGGCCTTCCCTTCTACCAGATGGTCCCTTCTGAAGCCCTTCAGAATGAAGGTCTCCTCTCTTTACTTCTGCACTTTGGGTGGACCTGGATTGGGCTTATTGTAATGGGCACTGAAAACGGAGAAAGATTTGTGCAAACTGTGGTTCCAATGTTTTATCAGAAAGGTGTCTGCTTTGACTTCATCAAAAGAATCCCTACGCCAGATTTTGCTGGTAACTTCCCTGACCTCCTGGAAGAAGGGCAGAAAATCTATGATAAAATTATGGGAAGCACAGCCACAGTAATATTGGCCTATGGAGAATCTTACTCCTTCGCAACTTTCAGATATTTGTCCTATGTATCTGATACAGATGTGACAAAGAAATCAAAGGGGAAAGTGTGGATAATTACAGCCCAAGTGGAACTCAGTTCATACGTCTTCCAAAGAGATTGGGATGAAGAAATATTCCATGGCGCTCTTGCTTTCAGGTTTCACTCCAGTCATTTATCAGGATTCGAACAGTTTATTCAAGACAGAAACCCTTTCAGCGCTACGGGAGATGGTTTTATCAAGGATTTCTGGCAACAGGCCTTTGCTTGTTCCTTTCTAGACACTGATCTGGGTGAGGAGGAGAGTCATCTGTGCACAGGGGAAGAGAAACTGGAAGATCTTCCTATCCCGTACTTTGACACGAGCATGACTGGCCACAGTTATAGTATCTACAATGCTGTTCATGCTGTTGCACATGCTTTGCACGCCATGTCCTCCTCTAAATTGCAACAGAGAGCATTTTTTAATGGAGAGAAGCTGAAACATAGGACTCATCCCTTTCTGCAGGTATTGTTCTAAAGCTTGTATTAATCAAATACTAGGTCTTAAAATGATTTCTAAGGCACATATTCTAAATGATCACCACAGACTCTTCCTTTTAAGATAGCTAAGTTATTTTTCCCAACATTCTGAACCAAAGTCATCAGGAATGAATTAAGTCTCTTTGGGTTTTCTATTTATTTGCTTCTCCCCCTACCCGAACCATAGAGAAGTGTTTGCCTTTGTGGTAAAATCTCCTCACATCTGTGAAATTTATCCTAGTAAACATGAGTCTTCACTCGCCTGAACTCTCTTTAACCTCAGTTCATTACTATTATTAAAGTTCAGTGTGAGAAATCCATCTTCAAGCCCTGTGCACTCATTTTCTTTCAGTAAAGAAGGAAAAAAATGAAGAGGCTGGCATCATGTTTTAGTTATTTTCTAATGGGGGAATTTGACTGGATACTGCTTTAACAGTGGGATTTGGACAGAAGAATCCCCAAATATCCACGATTATTGAAACCTATGGGTGAAACTAGAAGGCCAATTTATCCCAAGCTGAACACTCCCAGTGGGATTTGGACAGAAGAATCCCCAAAGATCCATGGTTATTGAAACTTAACTATGGGTGAAACTAGAAAGCCAATTTATCCCAAGCTAAACACTCTCATTTTGAGGTCTTGTATGTAATTTGAGGTGATCCTTGTATGTGGATCCTTGCTTCAGTGCATTTTGGGAGAGAAAATCACACTGAGTCTCAAGTTTAGCTCTATTTGACCCTTTCTCCTTTTAAACAGAAAAAAAAGGAAAGGAAAAAAATTCTAATTGGCAGAATAATTAATTGACTTGCTGATCAGCCAATTCAGCCCTGACTTGCAAGAGCTTTAAAAAAAATCTTTGCAAATCTGGGTGGTTAGACCAAGCTACCTTTACAGGCTGAAAAAGGGTTGATTGAAAAATGAATACTTCCTTCTGTGTCTCTGATGAACCCTCCATCTTCCTTTATCACTATTTTTGCTTAAATGGTTTCCCTATAGAACTAGGACAGAAAGCCTTTTTAAAAGGAAGGAAGGAAACAAGGAGACTTGAACAACAAGAAAGGAGTCAAAGCTATTTTGTGAGTTGCTGAAGAGAATTAACTGAGGAAAACATGGCTACCCAGAAGTGACTTCACAGGGAATCTTTTGTTATTTTTCTTGCTGTATACCCACACCCACTGTGGGACACTTTGACAAAGAATTTCCATGCCCTGTGAAAATCCTTGCATTTAGGCAAGAAAAAAAAGAGAGTTTCTTCTTCTTTTGCCACAGCATCCATAACAAATTATACAAATGTTTCTGAAAAACTAGTGTTCTTTCACTCCGAGGTGCAAAGCATGTACACACATAACATGCACAAAACTTGCTGTTGATAACCGAAAGAACATGTGGGATGCAAATAAGCTCTCTTGCATGTCTAATCCCTCAAGTTCATGAAAGATACAAAAAAGAATCATGCATAAATCTTAAAACCCTCATTTTCCACATCTTCCTCCATTCTTCATCATTTATTCTTTTTCCTAAGTTTTGTTGCCACACTAACTTCAGTCCTTCTTTCTCACTCTCTTCGTCTTCTAATTCAAGCAGGAATCTATACATTTTACTCACTGCTCCCTTTACTGAATCAGTCATCTGAATATCTATATATGATAATAGAAATTGTTCATGCTTCGTATATTCTCTAACTTTATTATATTTCTTTACCCATTCATTAGTCCATCTTTCTAATTGCAAATAGTGCAACCGGGAAATATTCTTATTCTGAAGGATTTGTTTCATTTGATCTTTCGATCTCATTTTATACAACCAGTATTTTAATCTAATCACTCTTTTCTTTCAACAATTCCACATAAGCTTTCATATTGACAGGAAAATTCTCTGTTTCAGCGACTAGTCCTAATGGAGAATTAAATGGACATAAATTCTTTCTGTACTTATACCAGATGTTTAACACTGTCTTTAAAATGGGTTATTAATTTCTCTTATTTTATATTTCTTCACTGTACCAAATAAATATTTTCATATCTACCTGTAACTCTGATGTTTCCATTCCCCACCAAATTAACCTTTCTGGATTATATATAATTTTCCCCAATAAAACTAAACTGATTAGCCAGATAATTTTTTATGTTTTGTACAGCTATACCACCTTTTTGTTGTTGTTTTATACCAATATTTTTTATTTATTCTGGCTCTCTTCCCTTCATTACAGTATTTATTAATCATTCCTTGCTAAAATTTAAAATCATCCTCTGTCAGCTGTATTGGTAACATTCTAAATAAAAGAATAATTGTTGGCAAAATTTTCATTTTTATCAGTGCAATCCTTCCAAACCAAGAAAGTTTTAAATTAGTATATTCCTGTAATCTATTTTTAAGTTCTTCTTTTAGTTTATTATAATTATGTTCCTTTATCTTTTGAGTATCTTTTACCAAATCTATACCTAAATATTTAACTGTTTTACATATCTTAAAATCATATTTATCAGCAAACCTTTCTTGTTCTATTTTATTATGATTAAACAACATTATTTCAGATTTTTGCCAATTTACACGTAATCCAGTTATTTTTCCAAATTTTTCCAAATGAATTTTAATTCTATCTATACTTTCCAATGAGTTTTTCACTGTCAATAGGGAATCATCAGCAGATAAATTAATCTTTATTATTTTCACCCATACCTTCAATCAAATCCTCATTCCTTATTGCATTTGCAAACATTTCAATAATCAAACAAAACAGAACTGGAGAAAGAGGGCAGCCTTGTCTAGTGCCTCGGCCTCGAGATATCTGTTCTGTCATCCCATCATTAACAATTACTGCCGAACTATTCTCCACATATAATTGATCTATTACCCCTCTAAATTTCTTTCCAAACCCCCAACCCTTTAAAAGAATCTTTAATGTTGGCCATTCTACACAATCAAATGCCAGCATCCATTGCAGTACAGCCTCCAGGCAGCGCTGAAGTGATGGAACGGCATCCACTGTGGTTGGAGAAAAGGAGATGTAGAGCTGGGTGTCAAAATGCAGTATGTGGTCCTAAGTTGCATGATGCCCAATGTTCATGCCCTGTCTATGCATCCCCACTAATCATTATTGTTTTCACCCATTTCTCTTTAGCTCCATCCCTTTCTCAGAGGTGTATCATTTAACAACAGTGTTGGAGACAAGATTTCTTTTGACCAGCATGGGAAGTTAGTTTCTGGGTATGATATTATCAATATGGTGACCCTGAGGAAGCCCAATGTAAAAGTGGGAAGTGTGGATCCTCATGCACCTCTTGACCAAAGATTCACCATCAATGGAACTGCCCTCATATGGAATAGCTGGTTCAATGAGGTGAGCTTCAAACACTGCTACTTTGGGCAATCTTGGATCCCTCACAAAGCCCTGAGTCCCACTCAATACATATCAAACTAATTAAACCAGGAATGTTTATATCAGGTTGTTTCAGGGATGCCCTCTTTGCAATCTTTAGTTTGAACTCAGCTAATCTGTACCTGATGGTCCAGACCAGTAGTTTCCAACCTTGAGTAGCCTAGGTATTCTTAAACTGCAATTCCCAGAAGCCTTCACCATCAACTGTGCTGACTGGAGTTTTGGGATCGAAGCCTTCACCATCAGCTGTGCTGACTGGAGTTGTGGGATTTGCAGTCCAGGAACACCTGTGTTACCCAAAGTTGGGAACTACAGGTCTAGACTATCAGAAATATCTCTAAGAAAGAATAAAGAATATGCTATTTTTAAAAGTGTGATGTTTATATACCACCCCGTAGCACTCTCTGGGTGGTTTACTAGTTAATTATGCAGGCTACACATTGCTCCCTTCCCTAGCAAGCTGGATACTCATTTTACCAACCTCGGAAGGATAGAAGGCTGAGTCAACCTTGATCTGGCTACTTCGGATTGAACCCAAGGTCGTGAGCACAGTTTTGGCTGCAGTACAGCAGTTTAACCACTGTGCTGCAAGGTTCTATAAAAAGAAATAGTAGCACCAAGAAAATTTAGTTACATCCCAGCTAGATTAATCTAACATGTTGTATGGGAGGCTTCCTTTGGAAAGTGTTCAGAAACTGTGTCTGAAATTCTGCAGCTAGTTTGTTAACTGGGAACATGTTGTATGGGAGGCTTCCTTTGGAAAGTGTTCAGAAACTGTGTCTGAAATTCTGCAGCTAGTTTGTTAACTTTAAGTGGGGCTGGTTACAGGGAGCACATAACCCCCCTGTTATAGCAGCTCCACCAACTGCTGATCCATTTCTGGGCACAATCCAAAGGGCTGGTTTTAACCTATATGGCTTCGGTTCAAGCTAGTTTAAAGACCACATCTCCCTCTATGAGCTTGCCTGAGTATTAAGGTAATTGGGGAGACCCTTCTCTCACTCCAAACACCCTCACAGATGTATCTAGGCGGGACACAAGAGAGGGCCTTATCTGTTGCTGCTCTGGAACTCCCCCCAATGGGAGGCCAGGCTGGCTGTATTCTTCCTTCCTTCCACAAGTAGGTAAAGGCTTTTCTCTTCAGACAAGCTTTCCCACAGAGACTGGCTGTCTACAAGAGGTTTTAAAAGGGGGTGCTTATTTTTTTTTTGTTGCTCTAAAAATCTTTTTATACTGTTTTTATGCAGCATCTTAATCTAATGTATATTTAATTCTTTTTAAATACTTGTACATCGTACTGTGTAAGCCACTTTAGGACTTTTTAAAGAAGAAATGTTGGTTAAATATATAAGAAAGAAAGAAAGAAAGAAAGAAAGAAAGAAAGAAAGAAAGAAAGAAATTATACCAGTCAAACCACTTAAACACCACTCTCAGTGTTGTAGATAAATTACTGTATTTTTTGCACCATAAGACTCACTTTTTCCCCACAAAACAGGGGGGTGGAAAGTCTGTGCATCTTATGGAGCGAAGAAAACAGATTATATTTTCCTGTTTTCTTCTCCTAAAAAGAAAGAAAGAAAGAAAGAAAGAGACAAGCAAGCAATTATACCAGTCAAACCACTTAAACACCACTCTCAGTGTTGTAGATAAATTAGTTTGCGATATCACTGCCTCTTTGCCCATTCTGTTCCTGTTCTAACCCCATGTAATGGATGCAACGTACATTGTTAGGAGCCCCGTTCATCAGATTCTTCAGTAGTTCTAGTGGAGAAAAGGTTCTACCAGTCTCATAAATCAGATTCTGCTAGTGTAGAATGTAGGAAAGGGCATCAGCTGGAGGACCTTGGTTATGATCTTCTACTGCTTGGGAAGAGATCTTATAGTTTTAGGTCAGACTGGGAAGGGTCAACCATCATTTGGTTGATGTTAAAAATATATATGCTAGAATTGACATCCATATGCTGTATAAAACCTAGACTTAATATTGAAGGACAACGATAGGAATCCATACAGAAATGAATCATCCATCTAAGATGGTTGATTTGATACTCTTTTATTTATCAGACACAGCCCCTTTCTTTATGCACAGAGAGATGTCACCCAGGTTCTAGCAAGCAAGTAAAGGAGGGGAAGCCATTTTGCTGCTACAATTGCATCACTTGCCCAGATGGGAAGATTTCTGATCAGGCAGGTAAGACCTATACAGTAGCCATGTTTTAAACAAACTGAGTCAATTCCAGAAGATCAAAAACAAAAGCATGACACATCAGGAAAACAGTTTCAGGGTTTAGAAAACAACATCACATTTTAGTGTGAATCAGTCATGTAGGAAATGCTAATGAAGAAAGCTTCTGGTACAAAAGGACATGGAACAAAACTAATGATACACACACACACAGAGAGAGAGAGAGAGAGAGAGAGAGAGAGAGAGACCATTTTTCACTTTCACATTATGTCTTGACTTTTGAAATTTATTAAGATTCTTAAAATGTGATTGAAACCAAAATCCAATGAACACATGAGCCATCATCTATATTATTACTATTTATCTTGATTATTGTTTCCTGTATGAAATTTTATTTGGGCCATTCCTTCATGCTTCTTTGGATGGATTGAGGATGTAATTTCCATGTAGATTGTCTTTCATTTCTCCCATTGTATGGACAAGTGCTCAACAGATGATAAAAAAAAACACAGATAAGAATAAAAACACAAGTCATAGTGTTAAAAAGCAATTAGATGTACAAAATAAGTGATCGAATGGATGGAATGTTGGACTAGGTTTGAGGAGGCTTGAGTTCAAATTCTCATTTTTCCCTTGGTGGTGGCTATAGTTAACTAGTAATTAAACTCCTCAGAGATCTTGAACTCTCTGTGAGGATCACCTTAAATTGGAAGGAACTTGATGGCACATAGGGCAACTCAGGATGCAATTAGATGGAGAAATAGTTTACATTTTAGACTGCTTGTGACATAGGTCAGTGCAGATACCCTGCAGTAGCATAACGAACGTACAACAGTACCCCAGCCCAACCCTGTGGTGTGTCCAAGCTGGACTTCTTTGGATAGACTAGAGTGATTCCTGGATGGACAGAAGTGTTATTTTAGGGAGATTGCTCCTGGCAGAGGGACCCTTGCCAGTTTGTTCAGATGCCATGCTTTATCTCGGTGTAATCAAACCCATAAACATATAAGCCAACATCCGGCTTTGCTTGCAACATTGGTTAACAGTAGGTTTCTTGTACTGAAAAGATGCACTCTCGGGTCCTTAGCAACCAACAGGGGCACACTGCCCCACTCATTTCCTTCAAGGCATCCATCAAGACAACCATAGCCATTTCTGCTCTATCAACAAACCTGAAAATACAAAAGAGAAGCAGATGATAGATTTCATCCAGGAAGGCCACTATAGACTCTAGAACCTTGCCCCCAAGAATGGCATTTGGCAGATGAGCTGATAACTGTGCCATACAGTGGCATTTGGCAGTTCAGTAGAAGTCTGGCCACGGCCTCTTTTTAATCTACAACTTTGTTGTAGGGACTCCTCACTCCTTTTATCCACTTAATCACTCAAGTCCTGGTACCTTTGATGAACCAGGAAAGACAAATATTGAGTACACATTTTGTGGCTCTAGCATCTCCAATGATCCTGAACAAATACTCGTATTATGCAGATTAAAACAGATCATTTATCAGTGAAAATCAAAGAGGCATATGTTTTACCCAAGTGACATGAAGAAACTAGAGCACCTATACCGTTACAGCAACTTTTTCTGCAATGCTGCATATAAACTCTTCACAGAGACTTGTTTAGTGGGTTGTATCCTGTTCTTGTGGGTGCATTATAATAGGCATTTCACTACAGAAAATGGTTTCACTGGATAAGTTATAGTAAGGTATATTCCATGAGTATGCGAGTGAAAATATACTCCTTTTTTTCCCTCCAGACCTGAATGACTGTAACAGCTGCCCAGATGAAAAGTACCCAAGCACGAAACGAGATTCCTGTATTCCAAAGGAGATACATTTTTTGTCTTATGAGGAACCTTTGAGTGTTGGTTTAGCCTGTTTCTCTCTTTCCTTTTGTTTGATCACAGCGCTGGTGTTGAGAACATTTATACAGCACCACAACACTCCCATTGTCAAAGCCAACAACCGGAGCCTCTCCTACACTCTTCTCTTCTCCCTCCTCCTCTGCTTCCTTTCTGCACTGCTATTCATTGGGCAGCCTCGGAAAACGGTCTGTCTCCTCCGACAAACTGCTTTTGGCATCGTCTTCTCCGTGGCTATCTCTTGTGTGTTGGCCAAAACCATCACCGTAGTTCTGGCCTTTGTAGCCACGAAACCAGGATCCCAAGTGAGAAAATGGATGGGGAAACATGTAGCCAATTCTATTGTTTCTTTCTCTTCCTTTATTCAAATAAGCATTTGCACGGTGTGGGTGACAACATCTCCTCCCTTCTCGGATGTTGATATGCACTCATTGCCGGGAGTAATTGTCCTGCAATGTAATGAGGGGTCTGTTCTAATGTTCTACACTGTGCTGGGTTATATGGGCTTCCTGGCCATTGTCAGTTTCACCGTCGCCTTCTTTGCCAGGAAGTTGCCAGACAGTTTCAACGAAGCCAAATTCATCACTTTCAGCATGTTGGTGTTTTGTAGTGTTTGGCTATCCTTTGTGCCAGCTTACATAAGCACCAAAGGGAAATCCGTTGTGGTTGTGGAGATCTTCTCTATCTTAGCTTCCAGCGCCGGTCTACTGGTTTGCATTTTTTCTCCAAAATGTTACCTTATTCTTTTGAGGCCTGAGCTGAACAACAAGGAGCAGTTAATAAGAAGAAGGTTTGATGAAAAGACCTTTACAGTCTCCACCTCACTTGTACTTTTCTAAACCCAACAGCAAATCCCTCTGTGTTTGTGTATGTGTGGGGATAATGTCCCAAAGTTCAGTGTATGCCAGTGTTTTCAGAACTAGTTTGGAAGACCCTCTGTTGATACTGAGATCCAAATCCAGGGATATAGGCAGGGTCCTAACTATTTTCTTTTAGACTTGTGTGGCAAAGTCTCCAGTTTGAATTGTGAAGAGCGTTTCTTCATTTTATGACCTTCACAGCACCGATATTTTTGGTTGCTTCTCTGAAATTTCTTTTGGAACGTTGGGTTCCGCAAATGAAACTAATAAAACTATTATAGAAAACATCTCTGATTTCATTGGTCTCGTCACCCATTCAGTAAATTATATTATCAGCATTGTTTTAGCACTGTAGAGCTGGAAGGTACCGTGTGGAGCACCGAGCCGGCTGTGTCTTCTCATTAACAATTTAGCAGCTACATTGTGAAAAAACTGTTTGGATCAATGATATGATCCACTGGAGAAAAATGCATATAATGCATAGATGGTTTTATTAATGACATTAGAGGTAAATAAATCTCTAACACTTAGCACTAGTACGAGGCTGGAGAAGAGGCATGGTGCAGCAGAAGGAACAGCAGGCTTTAATATTTTATGCTTTAGATTTAGAGATTCAGAATGATCTGTGCTTTGACACCCAGCCATTGCTGCTGTGGAGATTCTTCTGATAGCACTGAAGGAAGATCCCTATCTGTATTTGGGATGCTGGCATGAATACCTTTTTGGTACTTTGTGTTCCATCATGTGAAATGCAAGACTCACATAGTTAATTATAGGATCGAGCATCTGTACTATCTTCCACAGAAATCTTATCAAACAAAATACTTCAGTATTGGTGGCATTTCTCCTTATGATATCTTCATTTTAGGAGCTATTGAGCTCACTAAAGAACTTCTTCACCACCATTGGTAGAACTAAATAATTACACTATTAATTATTATGTTTGCTCATAATAACATAATCTGTTGGTTTGAATGATTGATTAATTTGATTTGATTTGATTTGATTTGATTTGCATCCCACCCATCTGGTCTAGTCGACCACTCTGAGCGTTTTTGTTAAATATTTCAGTTCCACATACTGTGATAAGGAAATAGTCAGTCCTTAAACTCTGGGCTCTGAAGACAGACTTCTGGCTCATGCTACAAATGAAACGGTTCATATAATGAACAGAATGATAGTGGTTGGTTACCCTTTGTGGCAGCTTACACAGCACCAAAGGGCAATTTGTGGTAGCTGTGGAATTCTTCTCTATCTTAGCTTCCAGTGGCGGTTTATTGTTTTGTATTTTTTTCTCCAAAATGTTACCTTATTCTTTTAAGGAGTGAGCTGAAATTAGAATGTATCAAGTAACTTTAAGCACCTGTCTCTCATTGTGACACTTCTCATAGGGAAAGACACAAGACAAAGAGCCAGCTCAGTGAAAACAGTTCTTACTGCTGTCCTTTTTAGATTTCTCAGATTATTATACTGAATTCTGATCTGAATAATCTTAACTTCCCTAGTGGGTTTTTTTTTGAGGGGGGGTGTCAGAGTTTTTCCTACAACCTCACATGCTGCCTATAGTTTGTTTGACTGTAAGGGTCTTTTCTCAGCTGAGATGATTGGCTATCTATTCAGCACTAATCAGTTTTCCTCCCAGGCTTTGAATTCAAAGAGAGCCCTTTCTCTCTGCTATGTGTTTCTTTTCCCTGTCTTTCCTTAGTTGGTTGCTAGAATGAATGTAGTAAATACAGTGGGGTCTTGACTTACGAACGGCCCGAGTTACGAACATTTTGACTTACGAACCGCTCTCATAGGAAAATATTGACTTGATTTACGTACTTAGATTTGAGTTACGAACTGAAAAAAACCCCGTGGGAGACAAGGAAAGTGCAAAATTTGAACTTTCAGTTAACTGTTGGCCAGTGAAAAGGGTGCCTGTCTGCTTCCTCACTCCTCCCAGCATTTAGAGAGTGGATTGGGAGACAGTCTTCAGACTGCCTGGTACTGTACTGCCTGGACTGTATTTTCCCTGCCTTCCCTGAACCTTTCTTGACCTAAGGAAAAAAAGAAACAAAATATCCCCCTCTAGTGGTCGAAGGCGGAATAGCAGCTTCCCATTAGTTTCTATGGACGGAAAAGAGCAGATACAGATCAAATGGTTTTCAATGCATTCCTATGGGAAATGCAGATTTGATCTGAGAACTTTTTGACTTGAGAACCGCCTTCCAATACGGTTTAAGTTCTCAAGTCAAGACCCCACTGTATAGCAACATATTCAAATCTGTAACTTCAAGCAACTGGAAAAAAATAAAACATGTTTTATTATTTCTCCTGTCTCAGAATGATTTATTGAGGAAACATTATTTAAAGAGAAAGGGGTGGACTCAGGGAAACTTATAGCTATTCTCTTCTGTGCATCTCTGTTCTGTTTAGCAAAAAATGAATTTTGCTCTACAAGGTGGGCATACAGCTCTTAAGTACCTAGCCTTGTGGAGTTTTTGGCTCTCTGGAAGCCTTGCCATCTCTGGAGAGACTGGGTTGTTGGGAGATGCAAGTGCCAAGCTGGTTTCATAGTCTTCATCACAACCCACTCACCTTGGTTCACCTACCCCAGGGAAGATGAGATAGTAGGTATTCACAGGAGAAGGCAAGGAATGAAGTACTCAGTCATCACTAATATATCTTCCATCATAGTCTAATGTACGAGTGCTCGATTAGGGTTTCGGAAACCTTAGTTCAAATTTTCAGTTGGGTCATAGCTCAGTCACACAGTCTTCCATCTTGAAATACATTGCAAGGGTATTGTGAAGAAACAGCATGGCAGAGGAGAGTTGTGTGCAGCACTGTAAGCTCATGGAGGAAAAGTGAGATATAAATGCAGCGAACAAACAAATCACAAGTACCAATTTCAATCTAACTAAGAATTCAGTTTACAATGGTAAACTGAGTAACATACATTTTCTGGGCTATCTATACAGTAGGAGTGTGGTATCTTCAGGATCAGTACTTACGGTTTCACTTATCCGCTGTCTGGAAATATTAAATTAAAAATCTCTGAAATATGTGCTTCCAAGTTGTATTACCAAAATTAGCAACTAGAGACTATACTATATGTAGTGATGTATATACTTATGAACTTAACCTGTTCCGGAAGATGGTTGTAACTCGAAAAGGCCATAAGTTGAAGCACCATTTCCCATTGAAATGCATTTAAATGCAATTAATCCGTTCTGGCCGAAGAAAATAATCACAAAAAAACACACTGCAAGACCGATTGGAAACACAATTAATCCAATCTGGCCAAGGGGGGGGGGAAGAAAGAAAAACGAACCAAGCATGCAAGACCCATCGGAAATGGGGGGGAACCAAAAAACAAGCAACCCCCCAAGACCCATCAGAAATGAGGAAAAAAACTCCAAAAAGCAAGCAAATGCCTCAAGACCCATCAGAAATGGGGAAAATGAACCTCCAAAAAGTAAGGGACCCCCCCCAGGACCCATCAGAAAAGGGGGGGACTGCAAAAACAAAAAAACTCCCCAAAACCCATCAGAAATGGGAAAAAACAAACCAGCCCCCAAAGACCCATCACAGCACAGAAACATAACCTCCCGGGCCCAAAACCATACTGCAAAACTCACTCAAAACAACTTTTTAAAAGCAGAAAGCAGCACCTTACCTTACTAGGCAGTCTGAAGCCTCCTCTGATCACACTCACTCTAACCACTAGTGCAAAAGAGCTACAAAGAAGCAGCCTCTTCACCTACCAATGGTTAGCAATTTGAATTCCCCACCTTTCCCCCCTGTCTTCTTCTGTTTGTGACTGGAAGCTCTGGCCGCGAGTTGAAGCAAAATTTTGCGGCCAGAGCTGGTCATAACTCAAAATGGTCGTGAGTTGGGACGTTCGTAAGTTGAGGCACCACTGTACTGTATAGGTTTTTTATGATGCTTTAGTGTAATCAATTTTAGGAAAGAAAAAGGATAGTGTTATGGGTTCTCCTGCATTTTTTGTTTCTTTCTTTTAGATTCAAGATGATTTCAAAACTCATCTAAACATGCATATACATAGGAATCTGGTATACAAGTCCAATACACATTATCATACTTTTCTGCACAGTTATAGTAAACATAAGTGAACATCAGAACAAATTTGTCCAGAGTATGGACACAATGGTGGAAACCCAATTGCTTAGCATAGTAAATCACAATTACTATTGGTCCATTGAATCAGTGGGGATTTTGTGAACTGGCTCATCCGTAGTTTTGTTGATTTAATAGTCTGCTCTAGTTGCAACTGTCTATACTAGGCAATAGAACTTCAGCCAATAACTTTGGTGTTTAACCTTCTAATTGGGGCGGGAGCAAAAGTAGATGTAGCCCCAAATAGGGATAGATTTTACCAGCTGAGACATTGATAACATTCTGTGTAATTGGAAGGCCAGGCCTAACAATAGCTAACCAAAGTTTTAATAAGATTAAAGGATTTAAACGTTCTACATAGGCATCCTTCAGTATCGAGAGACTATGGTAGTGTGCTGTGTATGGAGGACTTGGAACAGTGTCTAGTGTTTTGACACTGTATGCGAAGTTGGAGTGTCCTCTCTAGAGCACGAAGCCTGGGTAAAATAATATGGAGGATAGGCTGTTACCCAAGCAGCAAATCCCCCCTCTCCACATCGCTGAAATAGTCCCATGGAAAGTCAATAGCCAATACAACTGGTTCCAGCGATGTCGCAGGAGTTGACAGAACAGCACAAATTCCCTCTGGGACTCCGACTCCAGATTTTGTCTTGAAGTTAATTCCTGAAGCCTTTTCCATCACTGGATATAGCCACAAGGCAGTGGAGGTTTGAAATTGGAGTTTTCCTTCTCCTAGATGGGCTGCCTTCCAAGGCTGACGAGCCCCACCTACATAACATGGACACATTGCCATCTAGCTGGTTCCCGTCTCACCATAGTTTTGTAGAAGGTTTTTTAAGAGTATGTGTTATGCACCTATAAAAGATGGGCACAAACCTCAGTTTGGATGTTTATGCCAGTTTGTATACGTGGCACCATAGGTGCAACACATTCCCCCTCATTTTTATGACTGGATCCCCCCAATTGACAGCTCCCCACATGCTCCTCTCCTCTTCTTTGGCTGTTCCACTCTCTGGCAGGAGCACAATCTTCCCTGCTGATTACCCACTCAGACAAAGAGGCAGGACAGGCAAACATGTGCTCTTGCCAGGTACTGGCAAACAGCTGAAGAGGAGAAGAAGAGGAGCGTGCTGTGACTGGTGGGTGGGTCATTGGCCAGAGAAGCAAGTAAAGGGAACACACAGCACAAACCTCCAGACCAAGGTTCATGCCCATCTCTAGACCCTATGAATTGATGATCCCTACATGGTGACTGGTGGGTGGGTCATTGGCCAGAGAGGCAAGTAAAGGGAACACACAGCACAAACTTCCAGACCAAGGTTCATACCCATCTCTAACCCCTATGAATTGATGATCCCTACATAATTTTATCAGTAAAGGTCTTAGGAATGAATGTCTGTGAGTCAGGACAAAATGCTGAAGATTTCTTTTGCCCAAACTAGTCTCTTTCTGCCTATCTAGGTAACTAAAAAAGGAAATGTCACTGAAAAACATGTTATCTTCTGTAATTCCACAAAGAATTATCACACAATATTTGGAAGAATCACTTCTCTTTTAATTAGCAAAGGGGGTGGAATCACCAAATCCCATGTGGACGTGGATCACAATTAATGTCAAAGTTTGTGAAAGATGGCATATATATATATCCTCTAGTCATGCACGTGGGGCCTGGGGGAGTAGGTGCAAGTGGGATTCTATCAGCCAGATCAGTTTAGAGTCTGTGGCTCTTTACATATGGACAAACCAACTGAGCGTTCAGCTGAGGCCATTGTAATCCTGAAGACTCTCGTGCTTGTGTTGTAGACAGAAAAGAAGCAAAGAGTGAAGATTTGTACTCATAATAATGTTGTCTCTGCTTGTGCTCTTACTACTGTTCCCACCCATGGCATGTAAGGCTAATATTGCTCCATGCAGTATCCACAGTCCGCACCCTCCACTTCACAAGTATCATCAGTCTGGGAACCTCGTCCTGGGTGGCGTTGTTTCTCTGAATTTCATCAACTCCAATTCAACAGCCTTCACCAAAAAACCTCCACCAGCCCTGTTTGATGACATTAGGTAAGGAGTGTTTGCTTTTCCCTTTTGAGTTGATCAGCATTACAAGGCTGTAGCTGCATAAACATACTGTATCGTAGGGCTATGGAATATGTTACTATTCTTAAGAGAACAATTTAAATGAATGAAATAAATGCGATTTCACATGAATAAGGCAACATCAAGAGTGTTTTAGGAACGTTGTTGCTTACAGTCTTGATGTGGTGATGTTTTTGATGTTGGGTTCCTTACAATAGCTGAAGAGGGAGGCCACCCAGAAATGGTACATGGCTTTTAGTATTATGGTCTTGGTCTTTCATAGATTCTTAAGAGATTCTCTTCACAAAGACCTGGTCTTGCACCAGTAGAAATAGGTTGTTCACATGGATCAGCAGAACAGCTTGCATTTTGGGTCTATCCTTGGGTACATGGCTAGTGAGGCTAATACACTGAGTTACTGGACTTCAAAATGTGAGAATCTTGTGCAAAGAAAGAATGTTCCTGTTATTGGCAGGTGGAAGTGGAAGACACAGGAGAATGGATTTTAACTTTTCTTTCATTTACCAACTCCAACTTCACATCCTAAATTTCTCTGTGCTTTATTACATTAGATATATCACATCACTCAATTGATGTTTGAATTATGACTTCTAGTATTTATCTAGTTGTCCCTTGGCTTGAAATAGAAAATGCTTTATTTCATCAGATTTAAACTTGCTGAATCCCAGCAACGTTCATGTATTCCCAATTTTTAATATGGAAATAGATTATTCTCCTCTTCCCACTTAATTTTACAGTCTAATAAATTTCCACTGAACATATTTTCATAAGTTATTTGGTGGTTTCTGTACAATAAAAAATATTTTCAGTATGAATGTTCCTGCAAAGTAGAAAATGTAATGTCAGAATACATGACCCTATGTCCTACTCTAAGTAAACACATTATAAATGCATTATCTTGTATTTGATGATAACCCATGATCTAGTTGGTTGTCTAATCTTTTTGATATACTCTTTTATGTTAATTATTATCTGAATAATCAAATGTACCAAAATGTCGTATTTCGTTCAGCTGATGACGAGTATTCTCTGCTTCTCACTTAATTTTACTGTCAAATAAATTTCCATTGAACACATCTTGATAAATTATTTGGCGTTATATAGGTGTTCTGTAGAGTAAAAAAAAATTCAGTATGAATGTTTCTGGAATTAGAATATTACTGTAATGATAATAATCTTACTTAAAGCAAATATATTATTAATGAACTGTCTTATATTTGATTGTAATCCATGATCTAGCTGGCTATTTAATCTTTTCTTAAAAACTTTCTTAGGCTATGGAGTATCTCAACAAAAAAATTATTCCGTTGATGAAGATTTTTTTTAACATGATGGAAACAGAATGTTTTCAAGGCTGGAATATTGAAGGATTATGTCATGTGTATTTACATTGCATTAATATTCTAACCCCTTCTGACACTGCATATAACTCTTGTCCTAGTATGGTGCCTAAGAATTACCAGCACATCTTGGCCATGGCATTTGCGGTAAAGGAGATCAATGAAAACCCTCAGCTCTTACCCAATGTCACCTTGGGCTTCCATATTTATGACAACTATTTTGATGCCAAGAGGACTTATCATGCCACAATGCTTCTTCTATCTACCTTCAAAAGATTTGTTCCTAATTATATTTGTGACACACAGAATCACCTGATAGCAGTTATTGGAGGACTGGACTCTCAAATTTCTCTTTACTTGGCAACTATCTTGGATATCTATAAGGTTCCACAAGTATGTATGTATGTGGGTGGGTGGCCTTTGAGAATTGGACACTTGACTTTTTCTTTCCTCTTCCAGATTTTGATTTTTGTGATTCAGGGAACAAGATGGATGCATGTGAAGTAATTAAATGCAAAGCATTTTGTTAGACCCAGAACAAACTGAAGTGTAGTACTAGAAGTGCCTACCCAGAGTTATTTTGATATGTGGGGCTTTCTTGGAAATAAATTGTAAAGAGTTCTACAGGCTAACTGTAGCTGAAGTGCAATCTCAGTGTTTGGTGTGTATGATCCATAGAGTAGCCAAAGTCCTGTCACCCAGCTGTGCTGGCATAATCACAAATAATGATTGGAAATGAATTGCCTCAAGCTACAAAATCACTGTAGATGTTTTCTGTTGCCTACTGAGCTGTGTGACTCAGGGTGCAACTGATAACGTGTATCATAATTTCTTAACATGTGACAATTTACCTCCAAACATTATGTCATTTGCATAGTTGCACAATAGGATTCGGGCTAGTATCACATGATTTCTGTTCATGTGTGTGTTTCAA